GGCGCTCCCACGTCGCCGTTTCGGATCCGTTCGCGGAGTAGGAGGAGCCGGGAAGCTCACGGGATTTCACTTCATCCGCACGCGCGGCGTCCGTCTTCCCCGAGAGAAGGGTGGCCACGGAGGCATCGTCGCGATTGATAATTCTCAACAGCTTTATGGAAGCTTCCGATTGCGTGAGAGGGGGGTCGGCCGCGAGGTCAGCCTGCGAGGGGGTCCGAGCGGGGTCGCTGCCGTTGCTTTTCCCACTTAGCCTTCGCTCGATTCCGCGCTGCAGTATGGCGATGATCGCAGCGGATGTCGAGTTCATCCGATTGACGGAAGCGCTGCTCAACCCCTCATGAACACTGCAATGAGAACAGCGTTGGGGTAGGCGGTGCCTTGCACTGCTATTGGGTTCAGAACCCAAAGCAGATATGCTCGCTACCATGGAGGGTCCGGAAACACTCCTTTCTTTCTCCACTTCATTTTTCTTGATGTGGAGCTCTGGATCGCGGTGTTCCCTTCTATCCGTAGGATACGTGCTTGAAGAGTCGAGATAAACACTGACAATAGACTTCCCAAAGTTGTCTTGGAGGTTTTCATTCGCGTCTTCGCTGGTGTTTCCATGGTGCGAAGTAGGGTGATGGCTAATGTGTTTAAACTGGGTGTAACTCATTTGCTAAATGCACACACCCCATGCACGATAAACGTATATATAAATATATATATTTATATTTATATGTTTATTAAGTCTACTATGTCTTTGTCTATTTAATATTTACTTGAAGCTCAACGGTGTGATGAATGATTGCGTCAGGACCTCAAACAAAGCCTAGCTAATTGTTGCAATGGAAGCTACCCTTCCGGGATCCTGTAGGGGTATACAAGGTGGGAGGCAAAGGCGCAATAATGTACCTTGAAAAAGAAAAGCTGTTTTCTTCTGGTACGACAGAAATACTAGTGTATAGAGCACAATAATGGCGAAAGGGTTGAAGAATGGGGATCAAATGATGCGTCAATAGAACATAAACGGAGAGTGGTAGTTAGATGATGATAACGAAGATCACACCCGTACACAACAATCGACGATGAAAAAACTTTTTGATTTTGTGTGCTGTCAAACGTGCAAAGGCACGCACAAATGAATCTCAATTTCAATTCATCTTCCCCCGTATTTTATTCAGAAACATCACATCGAACAACGACGCTTGCGCTTCTTTACCACCTCCGACTCCGCCGACGGCAGATTCCACATGGTCGACAATTTACTTAGTTTTATCCAAGGGAACTCAAAACTCCCTTGCTCAGGTTTTCGATCCACTTCCCCGTCAGCGCTCTCGAAGCTCTCCCCAAGGTGACGCGGCAGCACCCCGGACAACGGCGCCCGCACCTTCTGC